ACACTTGAGCAACTGCAGTGCCCTAACTTTTTTACTCCTGTCATTTTTATTTTAAGGATTATAAAATAGTAAATTATAGAAAGACTTCTGAAGCATATAAAATATTTACTTAAGAGGTGGATAGTTTCTTTCAAGCAATTGCTACCTATCTTCCATAGAAGAAGAAATGATGAATTGCAAGAAACCTTAATACTTCTGGAAAAGGCATTTCTAAGAACAGTAACTAAGTCCAGTATCACTTTCCTTATTCCCATAGACTTTCAGTACTTTTCTTCTTCCTCTAAGAATATAGCAAAGATTGTGAGCCAGAGTCTGCATCAGTATAAAGAATGTATGTAAACCAACTATAATAAATGATGTGAAAAACGTTATAAGATACCACTATGTCTTTAAAATAATGTTCTGGCATGTAAGAAGGGAAGCTCCTCAAAGATTTTCCCTTAAATACAAATATCTACTTAAAATTAACAGCAAAAAACAGTAAGAAAATAAGACGCTACCTAGACCACATTTTCCTATGAAGTTTAGTCTGCAGCACAATGGATATAGAGAGAGACTATGGACATTCTGGCAACAAAACGCAGAGACAAGTGACTCCTGCCATGTAATAGCGTTCCAGGCATCATCCCTGCAGCGTTCTGTGCTGCAGCAGCCTTGAAATGAGGCACTCAAAATGCCAACCTACAGTTACTCTTTCCAGTCCTCACTCAAGTTTGCACCACAGACAAGATTTGCAACTGGAAGATCAGGCTGACAAAACTTTTGTGCCATGGCCAGATGCCTCATCACTCAACTCAAACAAAACTGAGACTCCACGTACTTAATTTATGAAACTGCACCCCTCGAGCACAGATGTTCTCTCCATTATTCAAAAGCAACATAAAATTTTTCACTAAGTTGGAGACAAGCATTGCCTATCCTCATATGGTCCCAATGTCTTAAGGCGAAGCACGAGTTCAACCTGAAATGCCTTCATAATAGATCTTTTTTATGCTAGGTAAGACCATCAAGTTCATCGTGGTAAGGTAAATTTCTCTCCATGTTAGTTTTATCATCTGTGTAAGGGGAGTAACTAGATGTGTAATGAGGCGCAAATATATAAAAGATACAACTAGAAAAAGTCTTCCAAATACACAACCATGCTGCCACATGCCACTTCTGCAGAGCTCCATTCAAAGGGGTGGTTAGAGTTTAATTCATACGCCTAAAATTGTTCAAGATCCACAGCTGAAATCTTTTAAAATAGTACTATTACTCTATATGTAACAAAATTATAGATTAAATACTTTGGAAATTCAAGTGAACAAAATGAACTTATTTTATCAAGTCAATTCCCTTATTCGATGAAGATGAGTGAGGTCTGTGCATTTAGAACCCAGTCCTCACAGTTTTATCTTTAAGTAGTAAAGAGCACGATTGTGGCAGACTGAAGGAGCTTTACTTTGCTGCTGTTTTTTTGAATGGCTATCTTGCGTGATTGAGCAGAGCTTTGCTCAATTCTCAAAGCAATTTACTAAAATTGAGAACAAAATATTTGGTAGAGCAAGTTGGTCAGTCCTAGATGATGACTTCTTATTCCAAAACAATTACAATAAAGGGAAAACGGGTTATGTTGCTGTGAAAATATGACTTTTTCCAAATAGCAGCAGACAAACACAGAGATACAAAATCACAGCCACAGAAGTCATCACAGAAAATAGGGTATGTCCATGTTGCACCAAGAAACGTCCTAATTAAAATTGAATTCTTTATTGATAATATTTTTCTGAGAGTTATATGAAGTAGAATGCATGTCCCACAATAGCAGGAAAGGTGTTTTCTTCTATTTTGTATTAATAGCTTCAACTCCAAGTAGGTTCCAAGGAGCTGGTACGATACCGAACTGCAATGCAAGCAGGGTGAGGGTAGTACCTATGACTTTGTATTTAGTGCATTATTGGATCAAAGAAAATGAAGAACCATTGTATTCCACTGCATATTGCTCCACAAAAGGGAAAAGGACTTATCCTTGGCCTTTTAATTGAAAAGTCTTGGGTGCTGGTTCTTATAATTATTTACTCTTTTTATCGTTTACTGAGATTTAACTGTTTAAGGGTCTTTGAATCTAAAGGGTAGATTCCAGTGCTCATAACATTTCTATATGTTTGCTAACACCATGTTCCCTGAAACAAAGGTGCTCATTTATGGCAGCATGATTACAAAGAGCTTCTCACAAGGTTTGGCATAACAGATTCTTCAGAGGTTTAAAATCATCTGCACCTTCCCGACTGAAAATGACCCACCTGCAAATGATCAGTCTGATGTGCTGTGCACTAGTTATCCACAAGACATCATAAAAATATATAGTATTTAGCGCTTGTAAAAAACCTTTACTGGAAAACAAAGAGGTGACAACCAGGTGTTACCCATTCCTGGCCACCCATATCTGCTCTAAAAAGACTGTGTTTGATGCTCCACTGTCTTGCACCTTGTGCCATTCATTACACTTTTTAAGAGAAACCTAATAAAGGAGCCTTAATTTTAACCTTCACAGTGTACAGATGTCAATGACAATGAAGTACAAGGCAGAAGAAGAGTAATCTCCGTGGATAAATGGATATTTTAACATCTGTCTCTGGCCAGAGATTGCTAGCAAGGCAGCTAATTAGTGCTAAATCTGGTGATCATTTCTTGGCTGATAAGTATACCTGTCTACCAAAGAACTACAGAAAAGCCACAGATTATTTTGCAGATTAGAGTAAGCAGCCATCAGACAGTGATTATTTTATGTCTGCCAACTAGGAACTGGTGTAGAAGATTAAAAATTAGACAGTCCACACCTTACCTCTAATGTAGGTGTGTCTGGTACAGATATAAATTGACACTTTCCAATTCAGGAACGAGTTGCAGACCAGCAGTTCTGCTTTACAGTGGTTTTATCTCTCAATTAGATATATTTACATTCAAATTAATTAAATGCTGCTGAAATACTGCTGGTTGAACATTAAAATATCTGCTTTCACTGCCCATTTGTACTGAGGGACACATTGTGGTGGTAGATTATTGTAATGTCAGGTTATTGTAGTTAATATGCTAGCCAGGTACAAAAACAATTACTTTCAAATGAAGCTGACATCATTTGCCCTTCTGTACTGGAGCTGTTCATCAGATGTCTTACCTCTGCCATGCATCACTTGATTCTCTCTGAATTAATTTGCTGGGTCATGAAACCTGCTCATTTAAAATTTTTAGAAGATCGTTACATTTTTTAAACCCTCTCCATATTCTTCAAATGACTTTAGAGCTTTACCCACGCAGCTGAACAGCAGACTAGATAAACTTACCAACTCGGAATGACTAAAGATGAAAACACAGTGCCAGACTGACTCTTGAAAAAAACACAAATCTTGTAAACCTTTTGGAGGCAGAAGTCATTCCTCCGCTAAACTGAACCTCGCCCCAAACCCACCTCTCAAACAGGTGCGGCTTCAAATAGCAAACTCAAAAACATTGCACTAACCTAGTTCTCTTTCCCACACCGCATCTACAAGCAGTTTTACCTGCTTACGTTTGTTGCATTTATTATATCCAAACCAGAGCTCAGACTCAAGAGTGGCTCTGAAGAATATGTGAATTTCTTCAGGCATCTGTAGCAGGGTCAACAACATCAGCACTTTCCTCTTTTCATTTTAAGACTGACTTGGCAGCAAAACTAAGAGCATCATCCTCTAACCAATTCTGCACCAACAGCTAGTCAATTTTCTTTCTTGGAGGTTTCCTCTCTAAGCACTAACTAGACTAACTTGCTTCAGCTTGCAGAATCTGACTAGATGACAGCCTGGAGGAGGAAAGACTATGGTAATAAAAATTTAATAGGTTACATCAATAAAATTTATTTTGCAAAGAATGGAAGAGAAGAAAAGCAGAGAAATAATTCATTAAAAACTTCAGCTTAGCAGTGCCAGGAGCCATGCTAAGAAGACAGAATTGAACAGTTCAGAAACTTAAGTATACTCGACATCTGGCAAACTGAGAAAGAGCTGAGTTATTCAGAGAGATGAAACCACACAACAACTTCTAATTAAAGAGTCTGGTGATTCCACTGCAAATAAGTATCCTAAATATATTAGTATAGATGTCCTTTGGAGAAAGGATAAAATGGAGCTAGGGCATCTTTTGTTTATTTTCCCCTTCCTCATTCCTGCTTTCTCCCCTCCTCTCATCTTCAGGGAAGGAAGAGAGCGGGGTGGGGTGGGGTGGGGTGGAAAATGCTAGGCAGGGGGGGAAGATGGTATTGGTATTTTTATTAAGTAGCTTCTTCCAGTTGAAGAAAAGTGATATGGGAGCTTTGAAAAACTCCTACTAAATGATAATACCTGTGTTTCACTCCTTGCTCCCTGTCAGTTTGTAAGATTTTGGAAAGGGTAATGATTCCTGCAATGATAATGTCAGAGGAAAGGGGGTGCAAAATGAGTGGGGTTTCTGAAGAACACTTTTGGCAGCAATCAGCCTAAATACTATAAGAGACGGGTGAGGAATTGTTTTGATAAGCATTTCCTAGAAGGTTTTCCTACCTGACATCTTGCCTTTGGTGGTCTCAGTCGTTGCTATATTAAAACCAGTCGTGTAAGCAGTGTGTGTCTCCTTTTAGAATTAAAATCTGCTTAGAAGCAATCTTGACAGTAATTGGAGGTCCCACTGTTAGCTTCTTACCCACTCTCAAAAGAAAATGGTTGGTGACAAATTTTCTTGGGGAGAACATTCATGAAACCATAAGCCAAAGTTAACACTCTTGGTGTAAGATGTAAAAATTCAACACATTGAATGGAAGTACAGCCAGCGTTTTCCGTGTCAGCATTAGAATACTTCATGTTCTCAGAACAACGAGAGAAATTTAAGCATTTCTTGAAGACGGACACTGGAAACCTAGTCAGTGATTTGCTTACACACAACTTTGAAAAGAATGAAACAAGTTCAGTGGAAAATTGTTATCAGATACATTTATTAAGTAACAGTATTCACAAAAGAGATGCTTTGTTAATATTTTTTAGCTTCTGTATAAAAGTTTGCAAAAAACCCTTGCTGAATTTTATCGGTGTACATGTAGTCACAGGTTATAGCTGGGGAAAGATCAGACAAGAGGATTTCATTAAAACCTTCAGAACATTTAGCCAGTGCAAAAGTGATAAAATGATTGGCAGTTGAGCTGCCAATCATAAAGCTTTTTGGGTCAAAAATTAATATTGTATCATTGACAAAACTTAGATTACTTCAGTTTTAGACATTAGCTACTTAACTACTCGACTCGGCTCTTTTCCATGAAAGGCTTTTAAATGTACAATCGATTCCTTTCCTGCACACAGGCCATGCTCCAAACTTATGCAATCTAAGCTTACAACTTAGCCTACCACTAGTTCATTGTCACTGACACAGTTTTCTGGCTTAAGTATATCCAGGTTTTTTAAACTGTTGACAGAACTGGAGAGAAGTCTAGGTGAACTACCCTCTCCCTGGGGGAATACAAAGGCAGCACACAGAGGAGCAGTCTGAACGAAGAACAGAGATCAACAAGGCAATCCTGAATCTTATCCACATTTCTATGGAAACTCTTATAAAAGTTTAGCTTGTCTGCCCTTTATATGAAGCCAGTGTGTACAATTTATCTACATAGGACAGTTTCAGATCACACAGCAAAAAATAACCTCTTGATACCACCAAAATTAAAGCAAGGTTCCTTGGAATAAATTTGTCAGTTTTCCTGTTACTTATACCTGAACGACTTGCACATTCTCTCCTCCGTCTTCTTCTAAAAATCTGAATAATGTTTCAGCCTAAAAGAAAACAGAACGAAGTCGAGGCATACGTAACTTTGGAAAAACCTGCTAACTAAAGTCCACCAAAGTGTCTAGTAGTGCCATCCTTGGAGTTCTCAGCTAATCTGAAATACGTGCAGAGGAAAAGAAAGCAATCATCCACATGCTGGATTTACATTGTGTTGTTACCGAATGCACTGCAAATAAGAGAAACTTAAGATTTATTGACGTAGAAAGCCTTAAAGCTTTAAGAAAGCTCTCCCTGTCAGACTTCATAAGTCTGATTTACTACACACATTTAAAACATGAAAAACATGAAGTTTCTAAGGTATCACAAAGTCAAATAACTTAGCGTAAAGAAATATATCATGATCCGAGCTAATTCCACTTCTCACAGAAGGGAAGAATTTAAATCTATGCAAAAATAGAAGACAGTCATTGATATGTCTCATGTTCCCCACAAAAAGATTCTTTTACACAAACTTTAACCTGCAAGAAGATTAATACATTTATTGCTATGCAATCTCCAAATAAACCAAGAAATCTGACATGCAAGCCATCCAGCATGTGCAGGAAACCTTCAAATCCCATTGAACCAGAGCACTAAAGATACTATTATCAGGCTTTTCACTCAGAACAAACCCCTGCTGGATATGGAATTCATACACAAGCATAACTTTCAAGGGGAAGGGAGTTGGGGACAGACACCTTGTATCTAGCTTTTTCTGTCCCAATTATGTTCAAGGACAAGGAGAGTTTTCATAGGGATGTCTGAAGTAACATACAATTTATAATCCAATAAAAGCTCTTACTCCAGAACAGGAAGCTGGATCCCAAAGTAATTAAGACATCAGGTCAAACTAAGATCAAGTCACCAAACGTCCTCCATTAACAATTACTCTATCACTTTAACACACAAAAAAACCCTCCAATCATCACTGGAATTAACTTAATACATACCTATACAATAAAGCTCGGCCTTTATTATTTGCTATAGAAAAAAAGCCACTCCTGGGAGAAAAGTCCATTGATTGAGCAAGATAAATTATCTTTCTTCTGAACATTGGGAAGTTTGAGAATACAGTATATGAAGGAATGTGCACCTATTAAGAGAGTTATAATTAGTTATAACTATAGAAAAACAACAAAAAATCCAAATAATACAAGCTCCATATTAAGTTCAAATATTGAATATTGGGAACACACTGCAGTGCTAGTCACTTTAACATTAAGCAGTTTATCAAAGTTTCCCATCAGTTTTACTCAGTAGTCCCAATGCTGGCCGGAGTTCTGACAAGAGGTACTGAAAATTCCATTTGTTACAGGCAAAGTCATATCTACCACAGTGAAAAAGACCATTTTAAAAAAGAATAGGATTAAGAATTGAACTAGATGTTATCTTAACTTCAAGAAAAACAGTGCTCTTTTACAGATATACAGCATTTGCACATGTTCTGATCTGCTTGGCCTAGCTGACATTTTTGCAGTGTATGCTATCTGCCTACTATCTTTACGTCACTAAGAATATATATTTTTTTCAAATAGAAGAAGCTTGCACTAAACAAAACTCAACATACCAGTTTGACAGCCTCATCAACTTCTTTGGAAGCCACTGCCAAAATTTCTGTTGTGGGATTGAAGGTCACAGAAGTTGCAGCTGTAACTAGGTTCATTATAGCTTTAACTGGTTTAGGATTCTTTTCTCTGAGACACACTTCAGTCGTATACAAGTTCACAACTCCTGAAGTTGAGCTGAAGAGGATACATTAATATTGGGAATATCAAAAAGTGCATTTATAGCACACATTACCTTGTTATTTACAGCTACCACCAAGAACAAAACAAATAAAAACTCATCACATTCCCAACAGACTTTGTATACCACAAACAGAAAATTTGTGTTAAAATTAATGTTCTTTTCATATAAAGAAAATTTTCATATAAATTTGGAATATAAAGATATGTTTTTACCAAGGTCATCTTGGTAGACCAATTTTTTTGCAACTAAAACTTTGGAACATACAGAGGTTAAAACACCCATTACGATTTTTTTTTTCTAGTGGACAAACTACTACAATAAAATATACAATTAATTAAAAACAATAAGAATTAATATCAATGATTGAATGAACTAAAGCTCTACTCTATCCTCATTACAGCTCAACTTATTCCACGCTCTGCACTCTTACCAGCCACAACAGTTTTCTGAAAAGCTACAGAACAAGACATTAAGAAGTTACACCTGGTTTAGTAACTTACCCACATGCCACATACTGGTTATTTCTTGAAACAGCAATACACTTGCCTCCCAAAGAGCCTTCATCTTCAAATTTGTGTAGACATTTCCTGCTTTTCACATCCCAAATGAAAACTTCACCTTCCTCTGGTTTTGAGGTAAAGTAGATAATTATGTACAAGCCACATACACAGATCAGTGATGTGCAGATTTTGTTTGGTTTCAGGGAAAAAAAAAAAAAAAAAAAGAATGTGTTCACAAATGTGAAATACAAGGTATTAAACAAAAAGCATACTAAAGCATAAAGCATACGTCTTCACACATAACCACTTTTAGATCAGATAGTATCATAGTCTTAATTCATTTTGTAAAGCACTGACTGCTTTGTAAAGAGGTCTGTGATTAAAATGTCCTTTAGATTAGTGCTAACAAGAACACTTACTTGAATACGTATATATTTTGCTACTGTCTGGAGTGAAAGCAGATGCAGTGCACCTTCCATTAGCTTTCATAGTGCTGATCAGTTCCTTTGTCTATAAGAAAAATTTACAGCAGTGAATTAAAGATTCTTTCAGTTTTAACATCTTCTTGACTGAAGTGTTCAATAATTGTACCTCAGGAGTTGCAAGACATGTAAGAATTCTATTACCCCTTCCTTTCCTTTTAACTGCATAGAAGTTAAAAGTCATGGCTTAAAATGGAGCACTCAAGGAATACTTCATGCTCACAGATGTGCTGTGACATGTACAGAAATACTCAGCAAGAACACTGCTTTTGTACTCCTCTCCCACGAAACTTGTTGCTAAACTGGCAATAAAGAACAGCATTAAGACTCCTTCAGACCCAAGTTACCTACACACCGCATACATCTCCTTTTATAACTACAGCTAGCTCACCAAAGGCTCATAGGTTCTCTCACTGGGGGATCCCTATTACATAACAGAACTGAATACTTTTTGACAAGAGACTTTTTCTAGGGAAAACTTGAAATAAATCCAGTGATTACCAAGCAAAAATTTAAATCTGAAAAGAAGAAAGCCTGTATGTTTTATGAATCATAGGAAATTGCATGCTTTATGAACCAGGCAGACCTAAACTCTCATAACTCCCAAGAAAAGCAGTCTCTTTTCTCCCACTCTTAACACTCTGTTTCCAAACTGGGGCCATTTTTTCTCAGCACAGTGTGCACTAGGTGAAACAGACATGATTTTCCTAATGCTAGCTTAAAATGCCTAGGTATCCCTGGCTTTAGACCCAGCACCAGTCCCATCACATTTTCAAATATCCAAAAATCATTTTCTGAAGCTGACAGTACATATCATATTTTTATTTTAACCCAAAAGTCCAATGACTTTTCAGATTAAAGGTAAGCAGAATTCAGGTAGCAAAGGGTACCAAGAGAACATCACCAAGAGAATCATGATAAAGAAACCTTACCTTCATTGATAGCAAGTGAAGATAACCTGAAGTTCCAGTAAGAAGCATTAATGATCCATCCGGAGACACTTCAAAATCCCGAACAAATCTTTCTTCCATACCTTTAAAAAGAGATTCAGAATCTCACGTTGGCATGACTTATTCTTTTGCTTCAACTTTCAAACTTCATAATGAGTATGAGTAAGACCTGACCTCATTTCAACTCTACAACTTAACTTGAAGTCCATGTAACAACTACGTAAACTAAAATTAAACACATTTTCTTTAAGTTAATTTATATGCCAGCTCTACTCGGGGCAATTTCAACTATTTTCAGCTTCTCAAAGTGCTAACACTTAAGCATACCTCTTACTTGATGTACAGGAATTATACTTCCACCCATCATGTCATACACATAGAACGTTTTATGGTGGGTACCAGTTGCTATAACTTGTTCTCCATCAGCACTGAAACAAGCCTTATGGATCGGAAAACCCTCTAAATAGATGCTCTGTATTTTTGGATTCTTTATACCATCAACCTTGAAAAGAAAACAGATTGTCACATTAAGGAGCATATAAAATAATTTTACATACAAGATTAACCTTGACTAGCCAGTACAAGAGACTGAAACAGTAAATAGTAGACTATTTTTAAGCATTTATCTTTCCATATCTTCCCAGTCTACAAACAACTTGGCTCTCATTGTCCTCTGTCTTCCTTGGATACACTCCAAATCTCTCACCCTTCATGTCATTTTTATTGTGCATTCCCATATGGCATCATTTGCTTTGCATTGTTCTTTCTTACAGCCCTGTAACTCAAGCCTGACTTGTCCCTTTGGCCATTTCACAGGTCCCTGAACAGAGATTTATATTTCAGAGCAACAGAACAGAAAAGTCTGAGGACCAGCAGCCCTGCCGCATGACAGTCTCCAGACCTTTCCCACTGCCCCAAATGTTTTGAGCATTTGACTTCCATTTAAAACTATTATTGTTCCTCATACTACTACCTTTTCAAACAAAAGAGAAGAAGAAAAATCTCAGTCTTGGTCACTATAGACCTTGAAACCAAACATACTAATGAAAAAAAGCCTTCACTAAAACCCTGGACAGAAACAATTGACCTATACTCCAAGAGCAGTTAGCATAAAGTCACAAATGAAGGAATTTTGTTAGAGTAAAATTTCAACGAAACAAATTGTGTAGACACAAAAACTTCACAATCCCTGTAACATGGATATGTCATCACAGGAAGGGAGGACAAAAATAGCAAATTCACCCCACCCAAGCTATTTTTAAAAAGTCAGTTGTTAGTTTCATTGCATATATTGAAATTTCGCACCTGAAACAGTGACACACATCGATCAAGGCCAGCAGTGAGGATGACCTGAGCAGAAGGATGGAACTGCACTGTTGACAGTCTTCCACCAGAGAGACGTTCCTGATTAGCAGGCAAGCAGACTTTCACCTACAATGCAGATCAAACAGTTAAAAATAACATATTTGCTTATACTGATGAGTAGTCAACCAATTTAATTGCTCCTAAAAGGCCTTGCACATAGGCTGACTTTTTCGATAACTTGCACAAACAAAATATATAACACGTCAGAGAGGGTGCTTCGGTAACACAGACATAGGAAGCTAATTAGTTTTTCTACTGACTTCCAAATCAATGCAGCCGATATAAAATTAGTTAAGTTTCAATTAATCTAGAACACAGACCAGATACTATATGAAACTCAAGTCTGTCAAATCAAGCAGGCATTTCTCACTGTACCAAAGACCATTTCAGTAGCTTCAGAGTTGTGAGAAAATATCATCCTTCCTAGTTTCTCTGAAGTAAATACTTAGGCCTTCAAATTACAGGGGAAAAAAAGAACAAGAAATGCATACTATCACCAACAGACACAATACAGCAGAGCGTCCGTAGGTGTTGGAAAAATGGCAGAAGTAGGCTTGCCTTTACCTGTATAGTACCTTTTGGCAGAGACTCTGAACTTGATATAAAATTTCCAGTTCTGCATAGCAGATCATCATCTTCATCACTATCCCCTAATTAAAACAAAGCACACGGAAAAGACTCATTTCACAAACTTGACTACACATCACATCCTACAAAATCCCCATAGAAACAGAAGCACACTGAAGGGATAAGCTGATTTATCCAGCATTTTATCACCTTATTGTCAGCACAGAAACATCAAAAAAGGTTTTACGAATTGCCAAACAAACAAAAATACATTAAATATATAGTTCAATAAATATAATGAGTTTCTTTACTATCACTTGCAGTCCTTCTGGTTTTCTTCTTGTTTTCTCTATCAGCCCAGGCAGGAACTCCACCCATAGCTCGCTGAAATCTAGCGAGAAAGAAGAGGAGACAGGGAGAAGAACTTCTGAGAAAACTGCTTCCTTCTAGGGGTAACACTTACATGACAGTCAGTCTCAATTCAATTGAGGTTATGTGCATTTAAAATCACAACACAAGCTTTTCCTGCCCTCTCAGTTTCACTCATATGGATATTAATGTATTTTTGGGATTTGTAGAACATGAAAGGAAAGCACAAATCATGCAGAACATGACAGTCCCCTTCTTTGGAGTTGTGTGCTGACACCAAGACAGCCCACACACATCTAGCAGTGCTGGTGAGTATGTTCATATTCCAGCTCATTCTTCCTCACATACCCTACTAAACAGAAAACAATCAACTACACTGAGTTACTATCTTTTATCATTTTTTTGAATATAGCTCCCTAAAAAAGAGGTAAGTTGATATATCTCTACTAAAACAAGTACTAAATTAGACGTGGAAAAGTTTATTCACAAACTTTTGGTTTTAGTGTTTGTTTGTTACTTCAAGACAGCCAATAATGCTAGAAACTATAAGCTGCCCAAAAATTCAGCAGATAAAGAGTTCTTCGAGTGTCATATGCAAATATCTCATCTTAGCAAACATATCTACAGCAGTGTTAGTGAAACTCACTCTTCCTGAAGTCTTCGCTTAAGTTTTTCCTTACTAAGGATCTTCTCAGCATCACTTTTCATCATATCTCTCTTATACCTATGAGTCATATCAATCCTAGGGAAAGAAAGAAAAAAAATATGGAGAACAAACTCAAGTCTTTCACGCTGGTTCTTTCAGGCATCATCCTGAGCTCCATCTATGTTTTCCAGCTTACATTTCCTCAGCTTCATCCTCCTCATCCACCCAGGCGGGTTTCTTGGGCGGCAGGAAATCATCCTTCGCTTCATTCTCCACTTCCGAGTCGCTGGAGTCCCTCAGAAAGTTTCCCTCGTCGGTGGCATGAGGCTGAGAAGAACCGGACAGGCCGCGTTATCCCGCCGGAAAAGCCGGCCGAGCTCTTCCACATGGGAAGCGCGAGCGGCCCTGGGGGGCTTCCCCTCACACCCCACGCCCGGCCTACCGGCGGGGGCCCTGCGAGGCGCCGCAGCAGCTCGTCCTCCTCGGCCGCCAGGCTGTCGCCGAACACCAGCTCCTCCAGCGCCCGCTCCGCGCCCGATGCCCCGCCGAGCGCCCGCAAGTGCCGCTCGCGGCGCGACGCCTCCTCCGCCTCTTGTCGCGCCGCCGCCATCGCCTTCTCCTCCGCGCGCGGCTGCTGCGGCTTCGCCACCCTCATTTTCGGCTTCGCCACCCCCGATTTCGGCTTCGCCACCCCCGATTTCGGCTTCTTCGCCGCCATTTTGGGGCGCCGCGGCCCCGCGCGCGCCGCCACCGCGCGCCCCATGGCTCCTCACAGCGCCGGAACCGGAACGCGGGGGCGGAGCCCACCTGACCCGCCCCTCGCGCGATTGGCTCGCGCTGCCGCCCCTCCTCCGCCCGCGTGACCCGCCCCGCCCCGCCCTCAGGGTGTGTCACGTGGCCTCCTTTCTTTGCCTTCCCTGCCTCCTGCTGCCCCCCCCCCCCGCGCCGTGCACGTGACGCGCGCCGAGGCCAGGTCGCTCCATCGCACCCACAGGGGGGTGCCATGCCCCGTGTGACAACAGCCCGCCCCTCCGCGGCAGCCCGAGGCCGCCCCCCCGCGCCTCACCCCCCGCGCGAAGGTAAAACAAGCCCCTCCCCGGGACCGCTTTCCGCTCGGGCGGGGGCCGCAGTGCGGCGGAGACACCCCCCCCACCAACTCAGCGTAATGGTCCCGCCCGCGGGGGGTACGGCGAGCGAGGGCGCCCCAAAGAGGCGGGGGCCCAATGAGCGCGCGCGGTGGGCCGGGCGCTGCGCGTGCGCAGTGCGGTTATGCTAATGTTGTTGATGTTCCGGCGCAGGGAGTCGGGCTCCTTTGGGCGGCGGAGGGAGCGGCTGAACTTTGCAGGCCGCCTCCTGCCCCCGCTGGGCCCGGCCCCTCGCAGGGGGAGGCGGAGGGGGCCGAGCCGCGGGGAGGGGGCAGAGGCGGCGGGCACCTCCTGCCCATGAGGGCCTGATGGAAAGCACAAAGGAGCGGGTGAGTGGCGGAGGGGCGGGCGGGCGGGACGGGGGCGCTGCGCGGGGAGGAGCGGCCCCTTGGGCTGCGCGCTCCCGGCACGGGCACCTGTGTGGGAGGAGAGCGGCGCCGGCCCCGCGGGGCGGGAGGAGGAGGACGAGGAGGAAGGAGGGGGGTCTCGTGGCGGGGTCGCGGCGGGCGGCGCTGTCACCCGCTCGTGGGCACGTGGAGGCGGCGGCCGCTTTGTTGTGATGCGGCTGCCCCGAGAGCCGCCCCGGGAGCCGCCGGCGCCGCCGCCTGGGAGCAGCCGCCGGGGCCGCTGCCGCCCCCCGCACCGCCTGCCCCGCCGATTCCCCGTGTTCGTTAAACGCGGTTTTGGTGCCGGTGGAGGTTTTGGCTCCGCGCTGGACGCGAGCGGCGAACCCGCAGAGCCAGTTTCGCTTTCAGGTTGGCGGGGAGAGTGTTTTAGTGGGAAGGAGCCTGTCCCGTGTGTCTTTCAAAACCAACCCGCTCCTAAAGCGTCCCCTGACTGTGGTGGAAGCTGCCGCATGGAGGAAAAGTAATTCTTTTAGAATAACACCGAAAAACGTGGGTGGAAGTGCGTGTGATTCCTTTATTTCACTTTGAAAGCCAGCTGCGGCTTTACAAGCTGCAGGGAAGTTCTCTCCGTTTAAAACCAAGGCTGTTTTTCAGGTCGGAAAGCTGCATTAATTTGTTTACTTCGTTTTTTGAAAAAGTTATTTATAGCGGCCTGATTTTGTTCCATAAGGAACGGAATAATAAGTTGAAGAGAGAGTCTAGCCCAGAAAATTACAAGGGACCTAAAACGGCGATAGGCTTAAGGAGAAACAAAAGGCCAGTGTGTTAGGTCGGTGATCATCACTAGCGGCTTCTGCCCAGGGCTCCTTCTGAGGAAGAGAGGAGCGATGGTCTCGGGAAGCGCAGGCAGCCTAGGGACCTGGCCACGTCCTCCCTTGCCCTAAAGAGCAGTTTAAATCCTAGTACTGAGCGTGCAGCCACAGCGCAGTGGGGTCCTGGGCTGCAACCGAGGGGTCTGTGTGCTGTGGGTCCCAAAAGAACCACATGGCAGTGGTGGGTAATGATGAACGTGAGCACAAAAGTTCCCTTGGCTTTCATCTTTCTTTTTAAAGTTTGGTTTGATTCTGCAAGGCTCTTGATACCTCCTGCAAACTGCTGCTGCATACCTTCGTTTCCCAGGTAAGTCAGTACGTGCTGGGTGCGGTGATGTTTTGCTGAATCTGGTCCTGGGTACATAGAAAGAATTCGAATGTTCCAGGGGTTGGGGATTTGTCTTTCTTTTGTGTATTTTCTTTTCTTTTATTTTAAACAGTAATATGTTGTTTAAATAAAGTATTTGACTTATAGGCTTCATGTCTTCCAGATATTCCTGTGTGTAAGGGCTTTGTAGAAGCGTAATGGAATTTGTAATCGGTTTTGAGTTTTCTCAAAACTCAAATATTTCAGATATTACATCTCTTCCCCCCCTCCAAATTGCCTTCTAATTTGATATATTTTTTTGTAAAAGAGTCTCCCCTCTTGTGTGAAACCCCCTGGGGAAGAGGCTATGGACAAAACCATTGGCAAACAGCAGAAACTGGCTTCAGACAAAATGCTGTCATACATAGCAAATGAAGAGACAGGAAAAAACATTTCTGTAATTTTCCAGCTGAGATTTTACTTGTAATAAGAGTGGAAGGCCCATTTCCAGATAGAGGTGAGTTGCTTCTATAAAAAGTAAGTTTGGTTGGTTGTGATTTCCAGGAATCCCAAGATGTTTAGGTCTGGGGTTTTTTGTTTGTTTGTTTTTAATGAAAACTAAAAGTATGTTTCCTTTAAATTGGTACCATGTTTGAATTTTCCTTTTTTTCTCATGCTATACGATGCAATTAGTTCTTCAGTTCCACAGGGGCAAGCTAGTATTACTGCACTATGTTATTTTGGCTAGATGAATTTCTGAAGAGTTTTAATGAAGTAGTTCTGTCGTCTCAGTGGCTTGGTGCTGAAATCCAGAGCTGAAGCTAAACTTGTGGTGTAAAGCACTAATGAACTTCTGTAAGGAAAAAAAAAATAAAAAAAGCTGTGTATCCAATTTAGTATCAGCTTGGAAGTACACAGTGGGCAATGTGTGAACTGATAAGGATATGTAATTAAAGTAAATGTGTCTTATCCCATACAATTGACTTGAAGTTTGTGGTGACCCCGTGGTTGCCCTTGGCCTCCAGTGCCATCTGTCCACACTTCTGTCGTGTTCCTGGGCTCAGCTCCGGATACAGCCAGGGGAGCGTCGTCTGCCTTAGAGGTGCCGGAGGGCCTTTGTTTAGCTGCTGCTCTTATATCTTGTCAAAATTCTAATTTGCTGCCTTTTCGAATTCAACTGCCAAATTGTAATAGCATTTTGAGCAGGTTTAAACCTTCCTGTGACCCTTTTGTACCAGCCTCCTTTGGCAAAGATGCACTACTTGGAGGCGAGGAATTCAGTTACTGTGTAACTTGGTATCTTCTCTAATAAGTTTTCCCCTTCAAAACATTTTCTCGAAAGTTTTGTCAAAGCTTGAGCATAGGCTTCATCAAGAGACTAAGGCAGTTTTCTGAGTAAGTATTTGATATTTTATTAACGTTAAATTGTTTTTGTGTATGTTTTGTCAATGCATTGTTTATTCTACTTGTTCAAGTTTTTATTCTGGCAGAGTAATTGCTACACTCGAATAGTATTTGCTATAATGTACTAAGCAAATTCAGCTCTCTGTACAACGCTATATGTTAAGGGAGAAATGAGAATTTATTTTTCATATCTGCTTAGAATTGCCTTCATGATTTTAGGGAAACTCACTTCCTTAACTGTATTCTTTTATCCTTTCATTTACTTTGTGTAATGCCTTAAAAGTATTTCTTAAAAATACATTGTTGCCAAGTATTCACAGCAGGGAGAGGAAGAACTGGGAAATGGGGAGTTGGGCAAAATAAGAAAGCAGTTCTTAGGAGTTCCTTTCTCCACCCATCCCTTCAATAAAGAAAACTATGCAAGAAGCCCCCCCAAGCAAGCAGACCTATAGACTTATCTGCCAGTCCCATTTACACTACTTTATTACTCTGCGTAGCAGTGTTTCCTGTCGAGTAACTGGTATTTTCATTAGGAAAATAAATCTTAGCTGGGATGCCTAAAAGTTTGGCTGGATTGTTTGTTTGTATGTTACTTTTTCTTAATATAATAGCAGATTTTGTACCATGTGCCAGACTCCTGCTCAAAGCATATTTTGCAAGCAGGCAGGATGCTAATTCTTCATCTCTTAATTGACAAACACTGATCTGATTCAGCTCTGAGGGAAAGGTAATCTCCTCAGTGTGGTTTTAATGCTAAGTCCTGCTTCGAAGAGTAGAAAGCATTGTGTTTGTTTTTGTTTTTTTGCATTGCATTGTGAATTATTGTATGGATTGAACCCTACTGTGATGTAATTGTTAGAGCAAGTTACTACTACTGTTAGTCTCTGGCAGGAGAAAAAGAAAGGGTTTTTTTAAAGGAACTGTAGCAGATGGTTATTATTAAAGCGTATAAATTGAAAATTGTGCTTAATCCCATCCTGCTAATAATCATAACCCCCTAGTTTTGTGGTTTTGATGGGCCATGTTCATACTTGTAACTACTATGCAACTTTTGGGGGGGGGAGGGGCGGATTGGGCTACATTCTCACGAGCAGCATGTCTCAAAATTTGCTGTGACATCTGTTTTGTACATAACAGCCTGACCCTTCTGAGGCTTCATTCCTAGAGGTCCTGCAGGTGCCCTGCTTAGATGCATCCATGTCAGGGAGACAAATGATTCCCAGCCAGCTGATAAGGCAGCTTGCTGCTGCACATGGCTTGTACGAGCTGCGCGGGGCCGCAGGCTGCAGCTCCCGCAGCAGCAGCTGCCTCCTGTCTGTTTTGGTTCTGTTTGAGGCAGCAGCCCCAGGGACTCCATGGGAACCAGGTCCCGCTGCAGCGAAATATTTGAGTGGGTTTTTCCTATCTTGCCTTTGGCATAGGGTGCAGTTCCCGAGCTTTGAGCTGTACCCCTTGCTTTTTTTCTGCTCTGAACATTGGATGGGCATTGCGAGTACAGTAGGATTTTGATTCCTTCTTGCAGAAAGTGTCAGAGATTAAAGTCGTTTGCTGCTTTCTACCCATGCCCTTTTTCCATCTGTGCAGGGAAGAGCCTTACTAGTGTTTATTAGCAAACTGGAAATGTTTTGGTCAGCTCTAGCAAAATTTCAGCTTACTTGTTTACATGTTACCTTCCCTAAATTTCACCTAGCTCTGCACACAAAGTGCTTTATAATTTCAAACTCAGTGGATCTTTTTCTGTTGCAGGACTAGGCCTTTTTTTTCCCCCCAGTTTCATAATATGTATTTTGAGTAATTGCCTAAGAATTACAATTTGGATATTAACTATGAATTAGCATGAAGAATGCCCAAAGTAAGTTGTCCTGTAAACATACTTGTTTTTCTTTTTCTTTTTCTTTTTCTTTTTCTTTTTTTTTTTTTGTTTTTCTTTCTTTTTTTTTTTTGGCAAGAGCTTAAAAAACATTTATAAAGCTACAGTATTTATTAAAAAACAATAAACAGAGCTACTGAGTTACTTGTAGCTTGAATTAGTTAATAAAAGAGGTCTAATTTGCCATTTTTCAGGTGTTTTTATATTTTTTTCTCATTTGTGGACATTTTGGCAAATAAAGCTTAGCAGTTATATTAAATACCATTAAAAATCATAATAATAAAAAAGCCATTAAAAAAGCAGAGGCAAAGGTGCAAAGTTCTCTTGTTTACAGCAAGAAAGGGAATTTCCCCAAATTACCTCCTGCTGCAGCTTCCTCCAAAGAGCTGAGTCCTCCTCTCAGTGAGATAGAGAATAACTCACCATGGAGAATAACTATAACTCAGCTGAATGAGGAAGGTGATTGCATTTAAAGACTCCCAAACCTTACAGTGTAGGAGGGGCTGTGGAATTCTGGTGTTGGGTGCTTAATACAGTATTGCATTTCATTGCTTAGCAGGGGCAGTATCCTCTGATGAATGGAAGTTAAATACTGTGAGACATTATGGAGCTTATGAAATGTGGAGGAAGCCAACTGGCCTTCTGGCTCATGTTCTCATCTGTAAATTACTGGTACTGGAAGCAGAACGCTCTATCCACGGCAATGCTGTGCTCAACTTGTGTGTGCACATGTGTGTCAATTAAACTACAAGTCACTTATCCTGCATCTTGTTGGCTTATAGTATCGGTAGTAGAGGACAGGTAAGACTTCCTAGCAGCATAGGTCAGTGTGGAAATCAGGTTTCCCATTTGACTATGAGAAAATCCTCCTCTAATAGGATTTAGACAGATTGCAAGGGAGAGTAGAGAATATTGTAATAAAGGGAGAGCACGGCAGAATGGCAGAAAAAGGCTCGGATGAGATCCAACAATAAGGATGTTAAGGCATACACTCTCTAGGAAAGGGATTGGGGAATTATTGTGATGAAATCTTCAAAGCTGTGAATCCAAAGGCAATTTAAGAGGGAAAATTCTGATCACATTATTTTTCTGTCTACAATGGCTTTTAAATAAAACTAGCCTTGGGAGGAAAAAGGTAGAGGTAAAGGCTTTCTTCTTTTTTTTTTTTTTTTTTTTTTTTTTTTTTTTTTTTTTTTTT